TCACATGACCCCTTTCCATTTACAGTTTTGGAGCTGCATTCAAAATGGCAGCCATGTGTGTAAAACTGTGGTCACCATGCGATTTCCAGCTGCACAAGCAACTGCGACGACTATTTTCATTAACTAGTACAGCCCCTTCAAAACCGGCGCGACTGCAACCGCAACTAGAAACAAAAAGTTTGTTCTACTCGCACCGATTGCAAATGCACATCCAATCAGAAAACGTCTATTTGCCACATCATATGGTGGCAACATTGAAAATACTGTAATTAGAAAATAATGGTAGAAAGCAAGATGATGGCTAGTTTAACAGAATCAAGATTAATCAAGCTAATTTAGTCTTATATGAATGACTATGGGATTTTAATTCTTCGTTTTATCAAAGAAAGGATAAAAGAGCGCAGGTATGGCATGAGATAAGTGAAAGTCTCGGCATTGATTGTAAGTACCATTTTTAGATTTCTGAATATAAAAATATTGATTGATTTTAGTTTGGTAACAAAAATATTGTTTTAAATATAGTTAAACTCATGAAAGAAACCTAAAACAAGCTACAGTAATTTTATTTGTTTATTATAGGGTCATGTGTTTCCAAGTTGCAATGCCAGCAAACAATGTGTGACCACGAGAAGACACGTATGACTTGCGCTTGTTGCAGTTATGGTTGCCTACATGGCTGGAAATCATATGGTGTGACCATTACTTAACTCACATCAATCTGTTTTCTCCCTTGGTCTAATGTGTTCGTGACATGAGTGAATTAACTTTGGGTACATTCTATATTTTATAGCAGGGATGTTAAGGGACTTCCTTTCCCATGCTGTATATTTGCCATGCCTTTCTGAATATTAAAAATTGAATATTGTTCAAACTACACACATTAGTTGGATTAGATTATTGTTAAAAATATTTAAATTACAAAATTTAATGATAAACAAAAAATAAATAATTCAGTAAAATAATAATCATATCCATGACTCCCTCTAAGTTGCATATCTGTCTGATAGTACAGTAGAACCTCGATTATCCGCCCTAATTGGGGACTGGGGTTGGTCGGATAACTGAAAAGTCGGATAACCGAAAAGTATGAAAAAATCCATTATTAGTGTAGTATATTATTATATCCCATGTAATTAGTATATTGCTATTAACCTATTTTGTGTTGAATTTTCATCGATGCTAAGCCTAACAAAAATTTTTTAAAATAATAATCGTCGCTATTGTATCGTTAAAAATTAGAAAATTAAGCTTCGTTTAAATACTGGCTCCCTTTCATGGTCAAATGAGTGTTGCCAGCTAAAACATGTAAAAATAATATTAAAGTAGCCAAGACATAGCCAAATATTGTAGCGCCACATCACTAGCGGACATTTGAAATTTGCCGACTAGGACGGTCGGTTGATCGGGGGCGGATAATCGAGGTTCTACTGTATTCTGAAGTACAAAAAATTCAAATTGAGCCCTTGCTTTGTGCAACTTAAGTGCAAGTCTCTGCATTTTGAAGTTCTGTGCTAACTACAATTGCATATTATTTAATTATATTCATTTAACTAAAACTGTTTTATGTTTTATGTATAAGTAAATTATTTAATTTTACTGGTATGCAATGCAATAGTACACACTAAGAAGTAAAGTATAAATAAAACCTGTTTTCACATTACCAGAAAATATTCCAAAAACAAACCAGAAAGAGAAACATGTAACTTCCTATCTAAAAATTAATCCATATGGTCTTACCCTGGAGGTCGAACAACACAGCGACTCATCGGTGCATTTTCTGGATTTGAATATTGACTTTGGAGGACCGATCATACACACCTCCGTGTACCGCAAACCATCAGACATTCCAACTTATATCCCGGCAGACTCATGTGACCCTGTGCAATACAAGATGGCGGCATTCAGGGCTCTAGTTAAAAGGGCTCACACACACTCTTCCACTCAAGAGGCCTTAGAACAGGAAATACAATACCTATACGAAGTGGCCAAACAACACGGATACCATAACATCATACAAAAAATGTCGCAACGGTTCGGAGAAACGATGTCTCCTTCTAAAAGAATTAATTCAATAGGTGCTAACCAAAAGGAGGATAAACCGAGGATGTCAGTTACTTACAACCCACTGTTGAAATCAATACATAATAGAATCACACGGCAGAAAGGTATTTCCCTAACCTTCAGAAGATGCCCAACCATATTTGGTATTCTACGTAATGGAAAAGACAAATCTAAGGAAGAAAGAATGCCGGGGTATACAAAGTGCCACTCAGGGATCATCGTTTTAGAAAGGATTTAATTTACATAGGCTCAACAAAACGAGCTGTTGGGATCAGATTGAAAGAACATATGCGTGACATCCAGCAAAATAAATGTACCACTTCCTTATCAACTTACGCGTCTGATCCAGAAATAACTGCGGACTTTTCAAATGCTAAATTAATCACCACCACCTCATATTTAGACCATCTCAAATGGCTGGAGCAGATAGAATTATGCAAGGCATACAACACTACATCACCGATCAATTCCAGAGATGAGATCTCTCTTTCTTTGGCATGGCAGGCCCTATTACAACAGGAGGTTTAAGTATGTCATAATCCTAAAAGAAAGGAAGTAAATGGGTTATCTAAAATTATGTGATATATTTTATGGGCTTAACAACAAAGTTATTCATAAAATCTTAAAAACGAGGGAAAATATTTAAATATCTGTGAATATGACGTAGAAGATATGACGTAGAAGATATGACGTTCACAGATATAGATCACGTGATTCCGTTCTATCTTTTCGGTTTTAAAAAATCGTTCTAAACGAATATTTTTCGTACTTCGGTAATCTTCAAACGATTTTTTGCCTGAAGATGGACCCAGGAGGGGTCTGAAAACGTTTGTACTATTAAATTTTTATTTCGCATCGGTTAAAGGTTCTAAGGTACGTGATATTTTCCTATCTAAAAATTTTGAACAGATTCCAGACAAAAATGTCAAAAATCTACTTTTCCATTTATTCTTACTAATACCTATTGAGAGAGTAAAATTTTGGTGACAAGTTTTCTAATTGTTGGCAACACTATTTAAAAAAGTTTTCAAATTAAATGATGGAAGGAGAAAATAAGAGTCTATTCACAACATATTTTTAACTTTGCCTTGGTAAGCATCGAATAAACACCGCACTTAAGGTGTGTGTCTTAGTATAATTAATATTGCTGAGAGAGAGACAGATAAACACTGCACATAAAACCAACATCCGGCAAGAAAGATTACAAGAGAGCAAATATTTTCAACTGTGTTTAACTGTGCTTGTTGAACATGGTTGAAAACATTTTCTTTCTTGTAATTTCTTCTTGCTAGATATTGGTTATATGTGTTTATTAATGTAGTCCCAGTTTTTGAGTAGTTGAATGTAAGATCAAATTTTATACTGGAGAGATAAGCAACATTACCAAGATATCATTATTCGTTTTTTCTTTAACAGAAAAAATTATATTTCTTGAGACTATACATACAATATCAGTCAATTTCTTTCAGTCCCTTCACACATTGTTGATGTATTAACAATTCTACGGCAGAGTTGACCTTTTATTGTAGGCTAGTCATCCGTCATACAATGCAAAAAAGTTAAAATTGTCCTCTAGCAGTGGCACATAGATAAAATTAATAAGTACATTTTAAAAAATTGCCGGGATGAATTTACTTTAACACAAATTGACTCATATTGTATGTATAGTCTCAAGAAATATAATTTTTTCCGTTAAAGTAAATTTGTCCTGGCGATTTTTTAAAATGTACTCATTTTTTCTTATTACTTCAGTTATTGCTACAAGAGTTTACCGAGAAATTCTATACTCAATTTCTAGTGTAGTTATATAGATCAGAAACAAATTTCTGTTATGTTTGTTTCTGACAAGATTCTAGTTCTGAATGAGATGGTTGGGTCATTACCAGAGCCATAGACCATGCCCTTAGGAGTAAAAACAGTCAAAGGAGCTGATAGTTTACATGCGATCCTTGGCAAGATATAGTCACCAAAATCTCTTTCTGGTTTCTAATGATGTGAAAATGGTGTCTAATTCCACATGCCCAAAAAAAATTAGAGTAACTTATTCCAATATCTATATTATAATTATTAATAAAAAAATACATATATTTAAACACAACATTAAAAGCATAACTTTCATACTTTTCCAGCCTGCATTTGTTTATGATAAATATTTTCAATTTATTCACAAACCCTGTTCACGACATTAACTAGTTATTATCTTAGAAACACATTTGGCATTCATCCACGAAATTTCAGAACGATACATTTTTCGAATGAGAATGGTAGACCCAAAGCAGGTTTACGAATAAACTGAAAATGTTTGTTTTGTTTATTGTAAACACAAGCTCCAAAAAAAAATCAATTCAAGCTCTGGATGAGACAGTTGGGACACTATCGTAGCTGTAGAGCATACCCATAGGAGCAAAAAAGTCAAAGGAACCATACCTCTAAGTGATCCTTTGCGAGATACAGCCCCCGAAATAAAATCATGGAAAATCGCAAGTCACATTGTTCTGTTAAGACCGTGCATTTAACTATTTAGCCCACACAGCTATGCCACCTTTGAGTATCCCACTCGACATTATATAGTTTTAGGGGACGGATGTGGAAACTGGCCCCCCACCCGGACACCGAAGTGCGAGCAATAGCAAGCACCGAAGTGCGCGACTACACGCGGAGCATCGGTCAAGGCAAGAGATAGTAAGCCTTGACAATGTGGAGCACGAAAATATAGGCAGTATACCGATACGTGTCAAAAACTGACATTTGGAGGCGAATATCTTGCAAAGGGTTGCATGTATAAGTATGGTTCCTCTAACTTTTTAGCTCGTATAGGGGACTACAATTCTCGGAAGTGCAAAACCCTTCATTCAGAGCTCAAATGAGGGGTTTTGCACCCTGCAAAAGTACGAAAGGTATGTTTTTAATCTAATTTACATTCAAATTAAACATATTACCATTCTATGTTGATAAGTGGTCCAACAAGTAAGGACAAAATCACAGTACAATATATCCAACTCAATGACGAATGAGGTCCAGGTCTTTTATGTCCAAACTTGTTAGCCTTGTTATATTTTCGATGTTGTAGATCAGATTTTGCAGGAAGAGAAGCAATTCTGTACTCAACTCTTAATAAATTCCTATTATAATGCAGACTTCTGAATATCCAAGATTTACATGCATTTATCTTACAAAGCGGTCTTATGATTGAAGTCATTTTTACTTTGCTAGAAAAAAAAATATATTTTTATATTAATTTATGCAGGTTCTACTTAAATTATTGATTGTTATAATATAAATATTACCTTAAATTACAGCAATTCAATTAAAATATTCTAATTGAAAACTTTATTCTTCTATTTAGACAAATTCATAACGTTAATGCATTTTTATCATCGTTCTGATCTCCTGGAGTTAATTAAGTCCATATTTAGTTAAATATTGGCTCGAGAACAAAATCATAACAAACGCAAATTAGCACGCCATCACGTCTTACACAAAGTAAGTGTTGCCAGATTGTAGGTGTGAAAATTTTTAAAATTAATTAATAAATTTTACTGTTTTCATAATTTATTAATATTTGTTTAATCATAATTATTAATTATTTTAATTATAAATGATTTATTTTAAATAATGCAGCAGTCTGTGAAATTATTTTTCTATGATCAACTTACGGCCTATTGGTTTCGTTCTCTGATCATGCTGGACCGGCGCGGCGCTTAGTGGGCCAGTAGAACAAGGACAAAAGAATCGATGATGATAAGCCCACTGTAAAACGTGCCTATTCAGAATGTGGACAAGCGGTCTTCGTACCCTGAACATTGGTAGTTCGGTCGTGGGTTCGCCAGGACGAGCTGGCCACATGGAGTTTTCCGGGTTTTCTCCACGTCTGTAACACCTAACTAGGGGCCAGTTTCCATAAAAAGATCTCCCGGAAGGCATTTCCCTAGGCAGATCGCCCAAGTGTTGCGTTGCCATAACTTAACAAACAATGAGGGCGGATCACATGTTTACGCGTCGAGTACTAGAAGCGTGGCGATGAAACTTTACGGAAGATAGGGAGAATCGAAGTTGTCGGATGTGGAAAAAGGAAGCCCCAATAGAGAAGGAGTCATTCACCTCGGATGCAGTGCTCTCGTGGTCCGATATAACCCTGTTAAGAGATACGAATCGGGAGCGGACTACGCGTTTTTTGCGGTATTTAGGAAGGCGGTCGGGCGCATGTGACTACGCCTACTGACAACTGACGTTTGGATAGAGTAGACTTGAAAGAGGATAGAACGGCGGCTTCAACGGAGTCTTCAAAGAAGAGTAGTGTGCCGAAGGCCTCGCTACATGCAACCTCTTAAATTAACCAGGAGACAATGAAGTGTACGTAGTTCATCCCAAAGAGTCGCATCCCATAGATACTTATTCCAGGGCGAACACCCGTGTGACTAGCTGTGCCAGTGACTGGCACGAGTAGGGACTTTGGTCCGACAAAGAACTTTATCCGGTGAGGCAGCTGACCTTCCTTCCATGAGATGTTTGAATGAAACCGGCAAGTGCCAAATCATAGGAATATGCAGAGGTAAGTAAACCATGTAAGAGCCCAATTCTGGAAACTTTTCTTAAAGATCGTCGCCTACGTTTGATAACGATGACATGCAGTGGAGGCAGCGCGGTGAACCCCTAAGCGTATACAGCGCGGAGACGTATAAGTGAAATTGAGAGACGTGGTTTCCGCAACAACACACGCAACGATGACTGTCCCTGCAGGTGTGACTTGTATGGCCAAAAGCGAGCCACTGGCCGTGGAATAAAGGGAGAGCACCGGTAGATCTGGAAATCGTGGACCGTTCTTATGCCCGCCACCAAGTAATAGATACTCTTTCTAAGTTGCAACGACTAGACTCCATTCAGGTGAATGAACGCACCTCCAGAACGGGAGGACTTCTCCCTTGATGAGGCATAACCTCCCAGCCCAGACTAGCCAACTTCTCTAAGGTCATCTTTGTTCTAGGTGCCGGCGGGTTGTCGTAGTGGTATCGGGCTTTATCAATTTTTAGAATGTATGGGAACACTCAAGTTGTGCTAATTCTCTGGTGGTCAACCGTGGATTATCGTCTATCAATTGCAGGAGAACGTAATCATCAATGATAGGATAGTTGTGTGTATGGGGTTCATCTTGAAGCGAGAAATATCCATCCTTGAATGTCTTGAACCAATTGCAGCAGGTCTACCTGTTGACTGTGCCCTCGCTGAATGCCTTGCAGATGAGATTGTGAGTTTTCGTTGCGTTGTGGCCACTTTTAAAGTGATGGAGCAAATGCACGCGAATGTGTTCTTTCGAAAGTTTTATATTGTCAGACGTCTTATTCCAGTGAAATACGTGATAAAATTACTTCGATTACTTAGAATAAGCGTCAAAATTCTTCTAAAGTTTGTACATTCCACAGAAAAATAGCAAAACCTATTCGATATGCGAAAGTAAAAGGAAAAGGAATTGCTGCTGTAGGAAAAGGAAAGCAATAAATCAGCTGTAAGATTATTACAATATTTACATAATAGCAAAAAATTAATTTTCATATTTTTAAAGTATCTATTGTGTAAATTCTGCTTGTTGCATTGGGATTTTGACGCATAAATTAATTTGTTATAACATCAATGTTTATGTAATTTCGTGCATAATTAACGAGATATTAGCGTATAAATGTGCAAATGAGCCGCTGCTTGATATGCATCATCATGAAAAATTTTTCCATCGAGAAGAAATTCCGTATTATGGATCTGCTGAAGAAAAGTTTTTCTGTTGAAAAAACAGCATTAGAAGTTGATGTTGGGCGTTGGAGTGTATGCAGAATAATTAGTAAGCTATCATATCACGAAAATTTAAGAGCTGGCAGGAAGAAAACGTTGCGCGCCAAAACAGAAACGTTTGATAACGAGTGGACGTTGCGATACATCAACACAAGAGGGAATTGAAACATGGCTTAGGAATAGGAGTACTTCAACTATCCGCAGATGCTTAAAACGTAACAATTTGAAAGCCCAAACCTACCAAATTACATAAACAGAAACGTCTTAATTTTGCCAAAATCTATAAAGACTGAGCCTTAGAAGATTGGAAGAGGATTGTGTGATCAGATAAATCCAAAACTAATAGAGTTGGTTCAGATGGGAGAAAATGGGTATGGACTACGTCGATGAAGTCTATAACCAAGCGAGAAGTACAAACAACGAAATTTAGTGGTGGTAGTCTTATGATCTGGGGCTGTTTTACCTATTTTGGGCCTGGAATGCTATGTTCTATACCTAATAGAATGGATAGTGTTATTTACATTGATATACTTGACAATTATTTGTTACAATCTGTTCATTATTAGGAAGTCTTTCATTTATCAGCAAGGTAATGACCAAAAAACACATACAGGAGAGCAATGTCATGGCTTCAGGATCAAAATATTAGCCTACTTGAGTGACCGTCTCAATTGCCTGATCTCAACCCGATTGAACACATCTAGTTCCTTCTTAAATATCTCTTGTCTGACTATGCAGTTCCGCCCGAAAGCATTTACCAATTATGGAACGTGTACGGGATCAGTGAAACAAAATAACATTGCACGATTGCAGGATTATTATTAATTCTATGCCTGATCGCATTAAGAAGGTTTTAGAAGGTTATACTGAATAGAGAAGTGTACTTTTTCTACAAATATGATATAGATTTTTGCATGCAACAAAATCCCCCGAATCATATGTTCTTTGTATGTTACTATTAATAAAATAATTACGTTGTTCAGATGATTATATTATAATTATATACGTAAATATAAAGTGTGCTTTGCAACATTTTCCTGTTCTTTAAAATAGTCTCCTGCATTCTTTGGGAGGACTTTGATGCTTATTGTAGATACCTACATCGTTCTAGAACATTTTTTTCCAGTGTCAGTGTCTAAATTTCTCCTTTACAACTGATATCAAAACATTATAGTATAACATTATGGAATTGATAGTAATTACAATATACATGTGTGATGGCTTTAGATATAAATTTAAGTTAAATTTTTCACATGAAAAATAACGAACACACAGTAATTTTTCTGTTCATAGTCTCTAGCCGCCATATTTGAAGTGTAAGAAGTAAATTAAATTTAGGAAATTAATTGTACTTAAGCTTACAAAAATTAAGATAAAATATATTAAATTGTTCGTGAAAACTTTAAATATCCACACTATTATAAATATACAGGCACAAAGATAATTTCACTTATATATGACACACTTTCAATATATTTTTAATCACTAAAATCCATGACAAAATTGAAATTTTCTTCATGATTTTACTTTATGATGATATTACTAAGAATTATGACATTTAATACTAATTCAAACTTTAAAAAAATTTAAGTAAAAGTAGTTTTATCTGAAAGTGATTTTTCTTAGACATAAGAAAGATTAATTGAATTAATTCCATGTAATGACTTTTTTACTAGTTATTCTTTTCCTTGACCTATATTTTGTCAAATTCAATAGTATACAAGCTATTTATATCAAATATAACTTGGCCATCTTTGGTGAAATCTTTCTTTTCACTAGTAAGATCAATAGATTTTTTACTGATAAAATTTATCCAAAACTTCTTATCGTTCTCATAATGATAACAGAAGAAACAAAGCCATCTTCATTTTTCACATTAAAGTTATATAATTAATTATCTTAGAAAGAAAAAGCATCATATTTATCTTAAAAGTATATAATCTAATGTAGATAAAGTTTAAATCTATCAAAACTTATCTCCAACATAACCATGTTTTAAGATCAACAAAAGATCCAGATATCTTCTTAAATCTGGAATATAAAATCAAATAAAAAAAAAATTAGAATAATAATTTTAAAAAATGTTTAGATCATTCAGAAATATTTTAAAATTTGGCAAATGATTTTAATATTTTTAAATCTTATATTTATAAATAGTAACAACACTTGATCAATATTCAAAATTTAGTACAGAGGGGAGTGGGGGAAAAAAGAAATTAAACAGAAAAATCAATTCTAAAAATGCCATACAGTAGCCTATTTTTGAACTTTATCCTTTACAGGAATAATTTTTCTTTTTTTAAAAATATTCCTCCATCATCCCAAAATAGAACTTTTACTTGATAAAGTTTTGTTTTTTTCTCCTCTTCTTCTTCTGATTTCAAATTATCTATTAATTTGTTGGCTTTAAAAATTGAATTTTCTAATATATTTAAGAGTTTTAAATAATATAATGTTTCTACTGATATACTTAATTTTTTATTAACCTAAATATTAGAAAATGAGATGAAGAGAATGATTAATTTGTATATGACTGATTATATACAATAATCACACAAAATACTAATAGGAAATGTTAATTGTTTAATGGAAATAACTCGATATAGAACAGTATATTGTATATAATTTCATTTTGACTGCTTCTTAGGAGAAGAAAACATTCTTATGTAACACTCCAAAAAACAGTTTCAAAAAACATATGTTTATTATCTTAAAGATAATATTCATAAATTAAAAATTTCACGCTGCACTTTTATTATTATTATTATTTTTTAATCTTTTTTTTTTTGGTTTTTTTTTCGTTAGTTTTGATTCAAAATATTTTTAGGTTTGACATCACCAATTCTAAATGCATGCAACGTTTATAATTAATTCATAAAACTTAACCAGCTATAAATATTAAACCGTTAAAATGTTCTTTAACATATATAACTCTACTCTTTTTTTTTTCGATTGAAACTTTGTACAGATCTAATTCTTAGGAAGAAAATTTCACAAATCTGAATCGGCAACGATCTGGCCCAATTGATGGATGAACAGATGATGTTTTGGACGAAGAAGATAAAAATTAAAAATTGGTAAACTAATGGGATGATTATATTGTATATAGGTTTAACATCTAAAGCAATCAACTTGATAGTGTATGTGTGTGTGTCTGTATGTCGTGTGTGTGTATGTATGTATGTATTCTCGGATTGCAAGGTTCAACTCAAACGGTATGGTCGACACGAATGCAATGTTGTGAGTTGATCTATTGTTTGTTTCTTTGATATAAATTTCTCTTGTTTATTCTGTGAGCCAATCTTTCAATATCACAGACAATACCAGTGGAGACATGGAAGAATTCGAGCAAAGTGTAAGCAGAACATGAGCGACACAACTGAGGAAATAATGATATTATATAAACAACCGGCTCCACTTTCTGAAAAAACAGTCTCTGGTTTAAACAGATAAACGTCTTACGGAACAAATTGAAAAAAATAAAATAATAATAATCATCGTTTTTTTTCGCTTTAAACATTCAAAAGGCACAAAAAGTAACCGAAACAGGATTTGTGTAGTACCATCGAAAATGTGGAATGCATCGCCCGAAAACCTCTTCAATCAGGTACGAAGTTAGTTGCAAAGAGGACACAAAGAGTAGAAAACTTTAGGATTATCAACAACAATAAAATGAATGGATTAACATTTTGCCTGATTTACGTGTCTGATATCAAAAGTGTGCATTTACCGAAAAAACGGTGTTGTGACGTACAATAAACTGAAGACATAAATTTGTCAACTTTTCTTGCTATGGTCTGCAACATTCGAGTACCCTTAATTGGATACGAGAAGAAAAGAAAAAGATAAAGAGAAAGATTATCCTTAAGGCATCATAAACCACCGCATCTTTTCCTCATATGCATTTTTTTGTTTTGTTTTTAAAATAGTATATGTTCTGAAATTATGTTTGTATTATACACGGATTCTTTCTGCGCAGCACCATTGTTTCTTCTTTCATTCCGTTTTCTGTTCAGAGAAACGTATCGCCGGGATTTCACTAGATGTGAAGATCTTTTCTGGATCACTTTCGCTATCTTCTTCCTCGATGCTCAGCTGTGGTGATAAAACTTTACGAAGAACACGCGGACTTCCACCATCGGGTGACCGATGGCTGTATATGCGAGAGGTACGAGATGCTCTTATGCGATAAGGATCCGTTTCGTACGAAGGATCGGGTAACGAAAATTCCCGAAAGAGCGTATCGGATTTCTCGTCGATAGTGTAATCCCGATATAATAGACGATCGTAACGGGTCCTTTCCGATCGCATTGGGAACAGACGTTGCAGCAGCGACGTTTTGGTGCCGTGCAGTTCAGCCAACGGTGGTCTATGATCTATTGTCTGAACTGCTTCGGTGAGAATAATGTCCCTCTTCCCACTGCCCACAGCACCGTAATGACGTCTCTTCCTCAAGGCAAATCGACCGCGTTTGGCTTCCATCGGAGTTTCCATTTGTGATTCCGCCGTTGTGACGTGGGGAACCCCTATTTCCTTTTCCGGTTGTGGCGTGTAGAGTTCAACACTTTGAGACAAATCTTCGGAAAGCCTAAATGATACGGCACTGTCCTGCGACATTTGACTGTCCAGGATGTCCTGACTGTCTCCACTTTGCGGAAATAAATGCTTCGGTGGTTTAACGGTGCTTTCCATCGACTTATATCCGCTGTCCGCTTTCATTTGTTGCAATTTGTGATTCTGTCCTTCGCCCGCGCTGTCCGTCGCTGACTCTACTGATGTCGTAGCTCTGCTAGCGTCTGTCGATGATTCTTCCGTATCTGCACTAGTTTCCGTACTTCCATCTGTTCTTTTCTGTATTCGGCGAGTCAACAAGTTTTTATAGCTCCTCCTGCGCGATTCGTGCGATGGCAGTTGCAACCAATGATTTGTCACTTCTTCACCTTCCATCTCACCCTCTTCCACACTCACATCTGGTGGATCGTCTCCCGCCGATTCGAGAGATGTCGTATGAGATTGAGCACCCGATTTGACAGGCGAAGTTACTTCGTCGTCTTCCTCTTCGTCGTCGTCTGCGCGAAGAGTGTCGCTTAATTCTTCTTCTCCTTCTAGCGTGGCCCTAAGTTCCCACAATTGCCTATATTGTTGCCTCATTTGATCGCTGTCGGTAACTTCGCTCACTCCTTCGGTTTCTCCACTGTCACTTGGTGATAAACCGGGAGACGTTTCTAACAATTCCTCCCTGCTTCCCGTATCATTGTAACGAAATTTTAACTTTGGAGATTCCTCGTCTCTATGCCAAACTCGGCTTTTAATGTTTTTCCTTTCAGATTCTAGCATCTCTTCTAATAAGCCACCCTCTGTACTGCTGGCTTGACGAAGAGGAGGAGGAAGTTCCAACCATCTTTCCGTATCTCCCGTAACGTCCGAACTAGATACTGATCGTTCGTGAAGAAGCGAAGCTCCCCTCGACACAAGATCCAGTGCGTGTTGTCTACTATAATGATAATCTTCTAGTTGCACTACTTCCGAAACAGTCGAAACTGCTTCTACGATGGTTTGGTCCCTTGGAGGAGTGCCCTCTTGTTCCCAATCAGGACTGATTACCGTTGGAGCATTCACAGAATCCGCAGATCCATGTTTTGATTTTATAAGTTCTGTCCACTCGGTAGCTACTACGGAAGACGGTTTGCTGCTGCTGCCTTCTTCGATTTCTTCATCCGATAAACAAATTGAAGCTTGTCTCTGAATTCCCCCACTACATGATCTTCTTCTGCTACTTGTTGCTTCTGGACTCCTGGAAACAAAGAACTATTTAGAACATTTTTTCAAAATACATTAAAACGTTCTTGTAGATGTACTTCAATTTAAATAATTGTCTGCAAGAAAGCGCATTAACGTAGTTCCAAATTCAAAAAATACGCGGGGTTGACGACCGGATGGCCGAGAGGTTAGGACCCGGGATCGAAAAACTCCAGGAATTTTTCGAGGGTGGTCCATCCGGATACGTTGGACTTCCATTATTCACCATCCGGCCGCAATTTTTTTAGTAAGCCCATTATGGGCCTGCTAAAAAAATGACCCTCTGAATGCCCATAGGACGCAAAGGAGTTTTAAAAAATAGCACGCGAAGTTTGTTGAATTAATTCGAAAATATGAATTAAAATTTTATATCTGCATATAAAATAAATGTGATGATAATAAAAACAGAGAAATTTTTCTTAGGAAAATTAGCTAATTAGTTAAAAATTTGAAATTGGAAACTTACTCCTTTGGTGGGGATTCGATAATCAGACTCGTTTCACGTTCTTTAATAGGCCTGATTATTTTTTTGAACTCGACTAATTCTAATGCACCTAGAACGAGAATAAAGTGTCATAGGTTAACCACAAAAGCAGACACAAAGTGCACACAGAGAATAGGTAAACTCACCTGGATAGGATTGGATAACGGGACTAGGAGAATGTTCCTCAACGGTGGCTTGTTCTGTAGTTTGGCCAGCAGGCTCCTTCGGCCCCCTTGAATTAAAACACGTGTCAAGCTTTATTAATTTTATCGCTCGATTGGGTCGTAAATATTAATCAAATATACAACATATAACACATGCATATTATGTTAAAACTTGTGAAGGCGTCTTTACACCCACGAATAAACAACACGGTCAAACCGATACCTTCCGCCTTCATAAATTTCTTTAATGTCAACTAAAGGATCGAATTTCGATTTGTTTACGATAAGATTAATTTTAAAAAGAGAAATAAATAAATAAATAAAATAAATGTTCTTAATAAAGACAGAGAGTAAGCCATTTTCCTCAAAACACGGAAGTGGTTTTATGTATAAATATATTTTCCACCCACTCTTCCTCGGTCTTTATCACCCCTTAATGCCTATCATTGATCGGTTTCCTATTAATACAAAGCCAACACAGCAAAACGAGAAAAAGAAAAGAAAATAATAATAAATAAGAAATAGCCAGTGTGGCTTTCGATCGTTCGACGTTCACCCTATGACCTTTAACCTTCCCAAATGTTAAATGGTGGCATATCCAGTATCTCGGATGCTGTTCACATCTTTCCGATCGTAATTAGGAACGGCAAAGACTGTTGGCAGTGCTCCAAGTCACGTGACCCGTCCCAGTGACGTCAGACGGGCGGGTTTCGATGAGCATCGATTCAGCGCAATGCAAACCAGCGAGATGGAGCCTGGAACCGCTGATCGACGATGATGATAAATGCGGAAGCCAACGGACGGCGGGAGGGGGGACGAGTGGACGGTCAGAACGTGCGGTTGGACCGTGCCGCCATCCGAGCCGCGACCCGTCCGTGTTCTTTCGCCCGGACCACCCGAATTGGCAAGCGGGGGGTCAAAGGTGAACGGGGTAGGTTCCAACGATAATGGATTGGCAGGATGCCAGTATGGCGCTGACGATGGATGTAAAGGCAACGGGACTCACGACACGTGGTACGCTTGACATCGTCCGGAGGGGGAAAACAACTCGGAGCAACAGATGAAAGCCGGCGTTACATTGGCCATTCGGACATTATATACGGTATCGGTGCTGCCCATAACGCGTAATATATCCTTGACCGGGCTTATATATCTCGAATGAACTGATTCTTACCCTTCTTCGCATCCGAAACACGACAAACAGAACATGAGAAGATCACACAACCACCTCTACCATCCTCTGGCCTCACATAGGTGACTCCCAATTCCCCTCAGTTCGATCGATTCACCCAACCAGTGTCGGTGACGTCAGTGGATTGCGCAATCCTTCCGTCATGCCTACGTCATCGGGCCCAACCAGGATCTTCCTTTAGTGGGTTCACCCACACGTCTGTCCAGTTGGCATGGCAACCATAACTCGTCCGTCGATCCTCTCAGATCTCTGTTCGGCCGGGCGGAGGAATGAAGCTATGTCACGTGGTCATGGGCTGGCGTGACGTCATCGGTTACTGAGGCAACTACTGCTCCCCTCCCTCCCTCTCTCTCATCACGGATCCGACCTTTTGTCGGCAAGTTGAGCACGTGTGACTACGTTCAGTATTTATTCCAGTCTCCACTTTTTCCATGCTGAAACAAAAAATGAAGATCTGGAATGAATACTGGAAATACTATTATTTAGAAAACAAGAGAAATAAATAAACACAAAAACACTACAGGAAAATATACATAGAAGAAATAAACAATACCTAGAATTATTATCGGCAGAAACACGAAAAAAAAATGGAACAATTACTCTGTTTAAAGGCCAATAAACACCACTTAAAAGTAAGGAAACAAAGGCGAGAAACACATAACGGATAGAAAAGAAATTTAAAAAGCCACAATAAAATAATAATGAAACATAAATGTGACGAAACGAACAAGAAAATTTACGTTCTAAAACACATTTGAAACACGCAGACAACAATCACGAACATGTGTGAGAGAGGGGAGGAAAAAAACGAAAGAAACTTATTTAAAAAACGATATGGAAAAGCCGTAAACGAACACATAAACATAAAGATTTCGGAAATAAAGCGTATAAAACAATTTAACCATTTCAAATCGAGAATAAATATATTAATGGAAAGTCATTCCGGTTTGAATTTTATCGATCAAGCATCTCCTTGACTCCTACGAAAGATCTTTCCATCACGACAACACCGAGATAAGGAAAAGATGGATTTAAAGACGTTTCATCCCGCCTCTCTTAATTACGATAATAAATAATAAATATAAACACAAGCCAACGGAGTGATTCAATCGGTGACGTCAACCGTCTAAACTCCTTTCAAATATTCATTTTTCTGCGGAGGAGTAGAAAAGAAGAAGAAAATAACATGGAATAAACGTTAACAGAAAAGGCGGCAACACATTAATTTTAATTACGGGCATAAACAACGTTTAAACGTGTTAAAAGGGACCATTGTGTTGCCGGTTCTATTTTTAGAAACTCAGTTGACTCACATTTAGAAATCTTCCGATTTAGCTCCAGATATACCTTTACAGAAGTTAAGATTCTTGACATTATCTCGTGTAAAAACCATAAAAATCATACACAAAAAAAAACGTTTTAAAGTATAGAAACTCTTACGTAAAGTAGTCTAATATTTATACATAAATATTAAGAGTCACTTAATCTACACAACATCCCTTAAAGCACCATTAAAATATACTTAATTAAAACACATATATTTTTTAAAGACGTAAAATTCTATTTATAACCTTAACCCACTTAAGCGCAGGAGTGTTGTATGTGTGTATGTTTATGCCTCCCGGAAGGAATAGCCCACGCGTGACGTCATTTCCAGTCTAGTAATAAAGCATCGCAATATTCTCTTCTTCCTAAAATTACGCAAAGGATAAAGGTGTCGTCATGGATACGGGAGGAAAGAGAGAGAGAGAGAGAAAACCGGCGTGTGTTTGTATATATATATGTAGAGGGGGAACGTAACGAATTTCTAGCACCTACCTTCCTGTGGGACAAGCTATAGATTTCCACCACTGCATACTGAACTGTATCAACTGTAATATGGTACATGCCATGACTGTCGGCGCTTCCGACACATTTGCCGTTGTATTTAACAGAAGCACTCACCCCACACTCCCCAACAGTACTTTAGTTTTATTCGGGGCCGCTAGAAGTCGCGTGTCATGCCATACGGTTGCTTGGCAACCGCCTTCACTTCTCTCCCTCTATCAATGACGTAGACGTTGGCGCATCTACCAAATGACTAGAAAGGTGTAAAGAAATGCCAACACCGAAAGGAGAAGAGAGAGAGAGGAAAAAAAGACATACAACGTCTTTATTCTACATTACGACATACACTTTATGTTAATAACGTTTATTTTCGATTTTTACAGTGTAGAAATGGAGGTTTTTTAATATTTTATCGCTTTCCGACGTGTTTTTTTTATATTTTTTATTTCCTAAACTCATTTATCTAACTACAAAACAAAATAAATTCGATTTCGGTAGCAAAATGGCGGATAAAAATCCGTATTAAAGTCCTTAATACCAGCTAAAACAACTGAAACAATTAATTTTGGGGGTTTTTGTGTTGATAATTTGATATTAAATTGCGCTTTTTACGCTTATTCTACATTATTTTTAAAGTAAAAAGTGAATTTGTAAGACATAAACTCACCTGTAATATCTGATACGAGTTCTGGTGAATTTCCATACACCGACCGAAAACAGGAGAACGATAATGACGTCGGCTCCGAAAAATCCTTCCATCTGAAAAGTTTAAAATTAAAATAATAATAAAGAAAAAAGGTATTTTAATTTAAAAAATGGAGCCAAATCGCACGTTCCAATGAAAAGAACATCTATCTTCAGTGACGTCATTTAACAGGTGACCAATAAAAAAAGACGTTTTAAGTTTAAATTTTCATTTAATAACAGGGGAAAAAAGACAGTTTAATTCTTTATTTTTTTCTAACCTCTTTGATGTGATTTTTTTCCCCCATTCTTCCCTTTTTACCTCGGATTAGATGCTCTTTCCACTTGTTGACAATTTTATTGTCAATTGGTCGCCATAGCAACTAAAAAAAAGAACTGTTATTTTTCAAAAATTCTTCCCTTCAATAAGCACCCTAACGGTATTTTTTTTATTAATAAATATTTATATAAAAGTAAATAGTAATATTAAGTATTACTTCACCGAAATTAATACTCGTTAAGTTAAATTAATTAATAATTTCTATTATAAAAAATTTATAAACCTTTCTAAAATATCTCAAAAATAGAAGAATAATAATTTTAGAATTTATCGAAAATGGCGCCGCTAATAAATAAATAAAATATGCTTTAAAAAATACTTGGCAAACTCATTCGATATAAATAATTCCTTTAACTCCAGATATAATTTAAACATTAAATTAGTAATATAATATTTCAAATATTTATAAAACTTAATTAAGTTTTCAAAATAAGATTTTTTAGCGACGACTTGATATTAATTTTAGTAGTGTAAATAAAATACGTCCTACTTTTTTAAAGTTTAAACAATCTCAAAATGAGGATTAAACACGTCGAAATCATTTTTAAAATCTTGAATTTTTTCCAAAATACAGTGTATATTAATATAAATTTCTGTTTCAAATATATATATATATATAATTGTTGTTGTGTGTTTTGAATTCGGCTTAAAAACAATTGCCAAATTATCATATAATTGGTTTTAAGAAAATTATATTTGCATTTTTCCATAATTATAAAAAAATAAAGCGTTGAAAACTCCTTTAATATTTTTTAGTGTTGAAACATCAATATTAAATCGCTAATATAATTAATAAATCCAGCATGGATTATACGGTCCACCTCAATTTTGCTCATTACGACTGTACCTGACCTATAATAAGTTTGTTGGTATGGATATTAATGGTAGAATGATGTTTCAATTCGCATCTAACCTGAAAAATCACGAAAGTCCAATTCGGATTCGAACCCGACCCGTTTAGTATAATAGCCGAACATCACAAAGCGACTCTTAAACACTTAATTCCACAAAATTAATGATTCAAAAACGAAAAACGTATATTCGAAACTATAAATATTTATAATTTATGAACTATATAAAAATTAATTCATACATAAAATAGAAGAAATGAAATCAAGCAAAGATAATAAATCAATTCAATCGGAGTATGCAACTTTATCAATAATCAGAGATATTATATATATTTAAATACCTTCCTTCTCCCTACATTCTTTACATATTAAAGAATAAAAAAAGTAATATTTTATATTTTAAAAAAAGGTGTAACATCAGCAGATCTGTGTCTATCCAACCAAATCAATATCCAGCTTCCTTTCTGGCATGGTTACAATTATATTATCCAGTAAGGTCTCGGAAATTTTATTTTTATTTTCATTTTTTTTTTTTCAGGTCGTTTTCTTTTGAACGGATTATTATGTTAAAGGTATTCTCAATTTCCAAGATGTTTCATTCTTTCCCTTCTTTATCATTTTATTTTTTACAATAAATGAGAATAGTTAAGAATGCTCGACACACGCTTAATTAAGAAAGATATTATTGTTTCTTGACCGTTTTCGTTGAATATATGTCCTAACAATTAATACCTTTAAATATTCTTTAAGAAAATGATATCATTGAGGCTTAATCAATGGTAAATATCTGCGGTTATTAATTAATTTCTTTTATTTTCATTTTATTTGTTTATACAGTAGATACTGCAGAGGAACGAGATTTTGCAAACTGGCACGTATAAAAAAGTTCTTATTTTATTCAATAAAACATGATTTACAAGTATTCAATGTCATGTATATTTACTTGACATTATTGAATTTCTAGGATATTCATGTTTGAAAGATTTCGCTCGCTTATTAAATGTAATTAACTTTTCTTTGGATTTTTTACACATTTGGCAAGTTTGTAATTAATTAAATTCAGAGCTGATTCATAGAATGTGTAATTTGGGCAATGGTCCACATACACTTAGCTTGAATAATAAAATAATCTTGTTTATAAATCAAATTAAACTTTAGTCAGACTTCTAAAATCAGCTGTTGAATATACAGAACAAAAACATTGAAAAATTGTAAATGCCAACCTGGAATATTTTAAAAATATTTTATAATGTTTTAAAGTGTATAATTCTTCACACTTTACAGTAGATTTTATTATATTTAGTCAATAATTTTTAACTCGATGGAACTTTTATGATGCATCAACCATTTTTCATACCGCTACATCTTTCGCAAAATTAAAAGCAGTTATGTCAACAGTTATTAAATATTAGAAAATTGCAATCTGTGATTTAATTTAGTAACGTAAGCGATTGCAAATATCGAAATTCTTGAGAAAAATCTCAATTATTTATAGTCTTACGCTTAAAAATTAATTACAACAAATACATTTATTCCAAAAACTCATCTAAATAAATAAATATGCAATTAATTAGATTTATTTTAAAATATTTTTTAATTTATATTATTTAAGCAATTTTTTTCCTTTATGCAAATCGATTTTTTTCCAAAATCAATTTCGATAAATAAATATTTGACATTTAAAATGGCAAATCGTATGATCGAGGCGTCATCTGGTAGTCATGTTTAAAATTAAAATTTAGGACTTGCTATTAAAAATAAATTTAAAAAAAAAATTAAACATATTTCATTGCGTATGATTTATTAATTATCTATAGAAGTAATTTAAGTATAATAATTCACGCTTTTGTATTTAACTAAAAGAAAAAAAATTAAATAATAAAATTTAATATCAAATTACAGGAAATTTCATACGTTAATAATTAGCAAATCTTTAAAGAAAATATATATAAAAGTTTTTCTTTTATTAATATTCTCTCGGTTGGATTATTTATCGATTCTTTCGGTAACCAAAGCAACCGCTACATTTCGGGGACATTCCATTTTTGAAACGAGGGGGAAGTAACTTGTAGATAAAAAGAATATTGCATTTCATCCGATAGATGGCACTGAATGGCAACGTTATCTCTGTTGCGTCATTAAAAGAAGTAAAAAGTAGAAAATATAAAAGTGTCCTCTTTTGACTTTTACTCGCCATAAAAATTCGGCTTACCAGGATGCGAGAATTATTACATTGACATATCGAGCATAAGTGAATATTTTAGTTTCTAAAGTGTCAAATAGTAGAGCGTGACGTAACTTAGCCCAGTCTTTCACATTCGTACAGGCGACCTCTCACGATGTATATATAATTTTTTTTTTCCGTAACAAAAAAGAGAGCGAGGTAATACGATTAAGTTAATTTGGACGTAGCTCGAACAGGTGCGAATTGACAAGACACCTACCTGTAGACAAATAAAATCCGTGGAGATGCCGGGATGAAAGAGGCAGATTCGATCATTGGCCGTCCGTTTAATCGGACATGAAACTGTTTTAGCGTGAGTCACGTGCGTCACCACGACCTTTGACCCGTGCGAAGTCAAAAAAGGACGGGTCGTCCAACGTGTCGAGACAGCTGGCGATGTGCCCTCCCCCCCATCAAACCAACCCGGACAGCGGACGTGGATGGGAAAAGCAGAGATGTGAAGCAACAACTGAGCAAGCGCAATGTCATCCTCCGTCTGGACGAAGGGACGGCTGATCCGTGGGAGTTTCCATTACAGTTAGGGGCTCCGTTAACATCTAGTAGACACCACTAAATCGTAGGGGATATCTCGTTCTAGAGATTCCTCAATAGAGAGAAGAATATAGCGGCGCCTTTAGCAACATCCGAAACATACAGCGGTTCGATATTTGTACCGTGAAGAGAAAGGGGGTTTGATGATTGGCCTCACCCCTTTATAAACAGTGGAATCTGCAGTCGCTCTCTTCGTAAATCGATTCGTCTTGCGATGTCTGCCTGCTTCGAAAATTTTAGTTCGTCTTGGCATAGTCAAACGTATATTCTGGACCACTGACAAAATTTCACCTTGCTGAATATCCGCGTTGTATAGGTGTAGATACTGAAAGTTTCGAGCGCGTTACATGCGAGCGAGTCACCAAATTACACCATTTAAGCAGTATAAAAATTACACCGATACACTGAAGTTAACACGAAAACATTCCTTTAAAAATTTATATGAAATTTGAAAGAATATACAGTATATTTCTTTCATTTCTGTAAAAGTTTTGCTGAAGAGCTACGTGTAAAGAAAATCGATAAAGTATGCGATGTCGAAATTATCGATCTTCTAGTTTCATATCCGACAAAGAATGCGTTTTATTTAACGTCACACAAAATCGGGTTAAACTTTTGATTTGTTGTTAAATTTAAAAATAAATGCAATAAATATAAATTAAATTATTTACAATAAAATTTTTCACGCTATGTAGCATTTTAAACAATATTCTTTAATACTATTTTTGGCAATGGAATGCCGACATTATGCCAAAAGTTATTAAAATTCCTTCAAATTATAGTGAAATATTTAAAGAAGAATGTTTAAAATATGATGAAATTACAATTTTACTGATGAATTTTAAAAAAAGAACACGAAATATTTTGATTTTATTACTGAAAATTATAAATAGAAAGTAAAAATCTTTATAAAACTCGCAGTCTAATAATAGAAACAAGATGTTACATATATCAAAAATAATGTCATTCTGCATAATATTGATCGAAAGGTTCATCAACCCTGTCGAGCTGCGTTACAGAATCTATTGCCCATTGAAACACAATCCATGGAATCAATATGCACACAAATCACTATCGAAAATATATTTATTTCAATAATGAATAGCTTATTTTACTATTTAATAAGCTTGAAAAATAATTAAAATTTTTGTTTCTTTTAAATAACTAAATTTTAGTAGTTATATACACAGACTAATTGAAAAGCAATGGACATTTTTATACCTCTTGAGCAATGTCTGTTCCATATCTTATCAAGAGAAAGTGAAGCACCTCGTATCAGCAACAAAGAAAACATTTTGCTCTCATAGCGCGAGTAAAACTGATAATTGTTATATTTATTACTATTATATCACAAGCTATGTTTATTTAGAAACATCCCTCGAGTGTTACAAAAAACAGGATCTATGTCAGTTATGCAAATATTTTATAATGATTAAAAAAATATCCAGTCTAGTCGAAGTAGAGTCATTGACTCCATTCAAATCATTTATATTATAAGGTTAAGTGATGTTAACATTGAATGGCAAAGGTTACAAAAGCTTGCATGACAAACATAAAATGGATCTTCCCGGATTTATGAGCTTCATATGATAAATATAACAACATAATGCTATTTAAATATCTATTAATTTTATCCAGCTTTGTAAATATATGTATATTTTTCTCTTTTAGAATTTCGTCTTTAACATATTTAAAAAATAAAAATAAAATTTGAATTCGGTTTCCTTATTAAACTGGTGTCTAGTTTTGCGATTCATTTAATTATAATTTGATATATCCTGTAAAGAAAATTGTGTTTTTTGCTTTGCTTTTTAAATTAATATATTAAAAAATTTGCTATGATTTTAATACAGGTGTAATATTTTGAAACAGTTTATCAAATAGAACACGGCCTAAAAGAGCTTGAGAAGTATTTGCATGTCTTGGCATACAAACACTACTTAAATCTTTGTGTTTCTATGTCTATCTTGTATGTAAATGAGGCATGTACTATACAACTTATTTATTTATGCATAATAAAGTGGAAGATAATTATTTTGATATAGTTTGAGTGTCACGTTTATTTAAATATCAAGTCAAATAATATATACATACTGCTACTGATGCATACGAAATATTCGCTCTTAAAATCCTGTAAAAATGATTTAAATGTAAATATAATGCTTAATTTTATTAAGCAGATATAAGAATTTTATAACATTTTACGAGAATAATTAATTAAAATATAAGATAAAATATACTTAATTTTATCGAAAATTTAATCTAAAAATTTTATTAAAGTTCGGACGTTTTATTTTAACTTCGAAATTTAAAAGTTTATTTTTTTTTGTTTTAAATTTATAAACGATAGCCATTGATTTTTATTATAAAGCTAGCAATAAAATATGTTATATATTTATTTTTCAAAATTCACTTCGTTTTTTAACAGTAGAAGAAAGCTAGTATATGTTTTACTTTCGGTTTTGAATTAAAAAAAAAAAAAATGTATACATTTTTGGTGGGTTTTGGAGGGATTAATATGGCAACACTTAAAATATCGAAGTAATTTTAGAGGGGAAATAGTTAGATTTATGTTTTTCCGCTCTCTTTTTCGAATTTTATCTCGTATTTTTTTGAGTTAACAACAATTTTTCCGGTTGAATAAATCAAAAATATCGAAAAAGTAATAATAATAAAATAAAATTTTAAATTATTAAAAATTTTATAAATTCGGAATAAATATATAAATAAAAACGCGACTCCAAACGGGAGTTAATTTTCATCCCCTATAAGAAAAGTTGCGTCTCGTCTCGTCAATCCAGACGAGAAACCCTTTAATGCAATCGCCGAAAGGTAAAAATCTAAAAAAAAATACATCCTAACAGTAAAAAAAAAAAGACGTAGAAAAAAAAAGGCAGCGAGGTCATTGTCCTCGCATATTTTCCGCCCTTGGCACTGAACGAGAGGGAAAAACCATCTACCCTATTGACCGTAGGCATAGGAGGAGGAAGGGACCGGATAGTCACGTGACTGACGCAAAGGGGGACGGAATCACGTGACATGACTGTCTGGTCACGTGGGTTGTAGTATAGCCTCAGCCATTGCGGAGGTCATTGACTGTCTGGGATTGGGAGTTGACGGGAAGTCGCTAGGACAATTGCAGTTCGGGCAGGGTGGACGGACGAGCTGTACCTGAGTTCGAAAGATGTAACCAGATGATCGGGATCGCCATACTTATAAAAGGATCCATTCCGAAATGAATCTATACGAGGGATTCAACGTTATAAAGGTAAGAATCGTATCTACCTTTTGTCTTGATGGGAATCCCGCCAAATATCTCGTGTTTTTTCCCTCTTTCTTTGTTTCTTTCTTTTGTTTTATAAACATTCCAATTCATTCTAATTATACAAAAAAAGCATCATTTCAAGAATAAAATCTCATAAATTTATATGACATAATCAATTTTAAATATCAAATTTTGAAATATAAAAAAAAAAAAATATATATTTTAAAAAATATTTCAAAATTCTTTTTCTTTATTTAAACAGAAATGAGTTAAAAAAAAAAACTAAAAAAAGGGACTAAATAAAAAAAATATGGAACGAAACAGAAACAGAGAGTTATGATAATGGAATAGATTTATCCTCGTCCCGTTATCTTCGATCCTCCGGAGAGGATGAGATGAAGACCACATTAAATTAGAGATGCCAAGAAGCCAAATATGCACGAGAGAACGCATTACGGAATAGTTAACGTCTTGGAGAATGTATTTGTTTTGTCCGTTCGGATAGAGTAGAATTTTTAAAATTAACTGTTTAAAAAAAAAAAGCTATGTTATGGAAACCAGTACAAAGCTCAATTGAAACAGGTTTTAATTCTATGTGACAATATTTATTATGGCAAAATTTAAAAAAAAAGTAGACAATTCGCAAAAGTTTTTGTGTTTTGAATTTGTGTAAATTACAAACTGAATTGTCTATGGCCGTAAATTGCTTTCGCTGTAATGTTAGAGGATGTACAACTTCATACAAAATTTATACAAGATGTTTATATGATCCTGTTTTAATTGAGAATCAATTTTTATTTGAAAAGTATTTTCAGAAATAGGACAAATAATCATTCATGGTGCTAAACAGCCTTATGATCTGTCTCTCATCTTATATCAATATCAAACTGTGTCCAGAATAATGCATCATATATTCTCATTTTCTGCTCAAAAGCAATTGAATCTCTTACAAAACAGGACATAAAAAAATCTGATCTTAAGTGCTGGTTTCTTAGATAAATTTAACTCAATCTTGTCTGTAGAAATCTTAAAAATTCTTATAGTTAACAGAAAAATAGCAGTTTTATATTGTTTAATTGCCATTTATGCAAATTTAAGTAATAGTCAATAATGTTGTTAAGTCTTTTAGTGATCAGAACAGTTTAAATCTTGATCCTTTAATGTGCTGTAGAGCTGTGAAAATGTCTAAATTGAGAAATATTGACTTATTATAACATCGTTTTTATTAAAAAATGTCTGTTTTAGGTATTTCTTTATATCTTTCTATATTACATTGTTGGCTGAATGCCCAGTGTGTCAGGCTACTTCCGTACATGATGTTTTAAATCAATAATAATTTATCCGGGCAAGAACAGAAGTTAAAACATTTTAATGACGTAAGTATCATTCCAAAGAGACGTTTCGACCGCATTAAGTTATTGTAATTATTTTTTCTGTAATTAATTTATCTCTTGAATCCGAAGAACGTAAACGTCCGTATGCAATTAATCTGCTGTGTTTAATTAATTCATATATATATATATAGCAGGTTTATTATTTAAACTTTTGTATATAATGTATGTATTGTACATTGTACTTCCAATAACACACTTACAGTGATGTAAGAGTTTGCATAGAACACGATAAAATCAACTTTTCCAATTTTGTTAATCAGATAATACTGTAATTGTTTCACTAGACTAGTTTTTAATTAGGAAATTTAGATTTTATATGTGTCCGTCTGATATTCATCGGACAATTTACAGTATTTTGATCTTTTAAACTACAAAAATTACTGTACAAATTTTGAACTTTTAACTAATTATATATGTATTCAATATGTAGTAGTATGTAGAATATATTACGAATTTTCTGGTGTGTTTTATAATTTGTATTTGATCGATTTAAAAAAAAAAAAAAACTGAGAAGTCTTGGTGCTGAAGAGAATCATTGTATGAATTTATTTAAATATTCATTTGTTTGCTAGTGCCATTAAAACTATATATATAATAAAAAATATATAATTCCTTCAATCAAATTACCTGTAATCAGATTTTTTTTGTATGTAAATTTTGCTGCTTTTTGTTTTAATGCTTAGCACCTGTTTTTGTTGTTTTAAAATTCTGTCTGTGTGCTAGTGTCTGTGATTAGGTAGTAGTCGTCGTCGTCAAATAATGTCCGTGTATTATTTTTAATTATTTTATTCTTTATAAGCAATGTTATGATTGGTTTTTACAGGGTACAAACCTTAGGAAAGAATAACGGAAAGTTTTTGAATCTTTCCTTGTGAGTTATGTTTTTCCATGCCCCTAAGTAGGGATGGAAAGCAACCAGCACAAACTGCCGTCTGTAAGATAGTGTTAAGAAATGTTCTATGTTTTAATACATAGAAATCGTGTTAGGCTTAGTTTGTTTTACAAACTGGGCACGTTTGTCGGATATTCTCATAACGGTCGACTTTGCGAATATAAGTTTAGACACGTTCACTGTTAAGAAATGATCGGTGTGTTATTAAATAATGTTAAAATTAATGGAGCTACGACTCCATTACTGTCTTCAAAGATGATTAGTTAAGAAGTTAATCTTAGATTCTATATAGTAATAAAATGACTTCAAGCAAAGTAATTAATTGTACTTTGCAATTTCTGTTCAGTAATACCTTTTGCAAAAATTAATTTCAAATTTGTGTGCCATGTGCGGTTGGTAAATTGTTTTCACCAGATAAATCATTTATATAATTGTACAATATGCAAGCTTTCTGTTGAATTTCAAACACTTTACTGCAATTGTATGGATGCAAATCATTTGTGATTGTTAAAAAAAATAAAAAAAATATGCCATGACAATCGCACATGGATTGTACGAATTTTTTCTTCATTTTTATATGTGGTATTTGTTGTATTTTAGTTTGAAAATTTTGGATAAATGAGAACAGTTAAATAATTTGAGAACTGTCATTTATTGTGAATGAAAAATAAAAAAAAAGTGTTTATGAATGAAAAAACTATGTTAATAAACTTTGCAATTTCTTATATAAGCTGTGTCATTTCATTTAAATAATATAAAATGCCACATACCAATCATAAATCATGCAGTTTTGTCGCTTTTTACATTTATAACAAATTGATCTGTTGAATAATTTATTATTTAAAACATTTCATGCTATCAATGAATAAAATGATTAGTTGACTGAAGTTCAAATTGGCTTGCAGTTACTGAAATATGTTTGATAAAATTTCATTTTCTCTTAGTTTAAATCAAGGCTGTGGAGTTGGAGTTGGAAGTAAATTTGTTACTAGAGGAATCCATCTCTTCTTTTATTATATACTTCATATTATGCTCCTAATAGGAGTGGTAACTTCTTATCTTGCATTATAGAAGCCTCCAGAAATGCAAGATCTTATTTTTGATGGTTCCCCTACTTCATGATCTTTCTTTGCATATCACTAATTACTGTTGATTTTTTCAGAAATTTATACTTGAATACATTGTTTTACCTAATTCTAAATTTTTATCATCAAAAGACTCAAACAATGGCCAAGAAGACTATTAAATCTAGTGTTATGAATATTTCAACACAGATGGAAAACATTTTGTCACTGTGTGGATGATGGTAATGAAAACTCTGAAAAAAATACTTTTCAGTTTCAATAGCTTTACTTAAAAATGCTTAAAAAGTAGCCTGATAATTCACTTTGTAGTGATATAATGCCGTTCTGGGATAATATAAACAAAGTATAGATTATTATTCAGAGGCAGGAGTCACAGTTGTACTTTCATTAACACGATAACATTGTAAACAGCTTTTATTAATTACTGATTTGCTAATTATTATTATTATTTAAAAAAAAAAGATTTGGGTATTATTTCAAGTTTGAACATTCCACATAGTTTTCCATGATTAATATATATAAAGTATATATTTTACTAGATGTGATTTTTACATGCTAGAGTTCACAATCTGAATGTGGTTAATCATTCATTCCATTGTATAAAAGGAAAATAGAGTTACATTTACATAAGATGTATAGAAATAATGAATATACAGTTTTGATATATAGTTATTAGGTTAAGTGACAAAAGGATTTAAGAACAAAAACCAAAAGATCAAGTTAATATACTAGAGGATTTCAGGGATTGAAAATGTCAGAAGAGAATGACATCAGCAGATGATGATGATGCATATTTGGTTGTCCTGAATCCACAAATCCTTATCTTGTTTGATATGAAGATCCTATAACCAGATGACATGCCAGGGAAAAACCTTAGAACTAACCAAGTCTTCAATCCACAATTACTCGCAATATCCTCGAGTCAAAATAGCTTATACATTTATAATTTTGAATTATTTAAAATAACTACATATAAACCAAGTCCACATATAGTGAGCTACTGGATTTTTATAAAGATATATATAATATGGCTAATTAATTAATTACAAAGATCTTGTACATATGTACAAAGATCTTGTACAAAGAACATATGCAAGATCTTGACAATATAATTTGGGCTATAGTTGACAATTCAAAAATAACAACTTGGTTTTATATTATTTGAATTTTTACATTTAAAATTACGTGTCTGAAATGTTTTTGGAATCATCAGGAGATGCATTACACTTAGAATTAATTGTATGCAGCAGCATATTTAATATCTCATTATCTTAATCTCCTTATGCTGTGCACCGCTTCCTCTTTATTCATGTTCAGTTATTCCGGCTGTTAATGAAGAATCTAATGATGGATTTATAAGTCTGAAAATATTCAGGACTCATTGGAACACAAATATATTTAATTTTAAATATAGTCAAGAATATTAATAGAATAATTCAATTCAAAATTTCGTAGTAACTGAAATAATCAAGCATGAATAAAGATGAAGCGATGCATGTCGTAAAATTAAATCTCATTATCCTATTAATGGTTAATTGTAAATATCATGCATCATCATTTGTAAAAGAAGAAAAACATATTAAAAAAACAGAATTGGTTGAATAAAATTGGCCAACAGATGAAAACTTGTTCCAATTATGCAGATTTATTTAAATATTTTAATAGAATAAAGCAAAACATGTATTTTAGTATAACATTAATTTCTATTTAGTTAAATTTGGCTACTGATTAATCAGATTATAAAAATTTAATCAGATTAGAAAAATAATGACTCTCTTAAAAATTATTTGATGTTTGAGAAACAAAAATAATAAACTGTAAATTAGAGATTATCTGTATTTAAAAAAGAAACACATCAAATATAATTTAGCCATAACAACTTTACAATGTGGCCATGATGCGAACATATGCAAGATCTTGACAAATTCAGTGGCAGAGAGATTGAATGCAGATCCAATACTGCATGGTGTCCTGAAAGTTCAAACTTAACATGGAACAATTTACCTAGGCTATTACAAATGAGAAATTTCTTAACCTTTACAGCAATTGAAGATCTAAAACCAGCTGTTGTATACTTTAACACTAGAACTGCTGGTTTTTATATGCTAATTGGAGCTACCATTGTTGATTGATTATTTTCTAAATTAAAAAGTATTTTTGGCTATTCACTAAATATATAATGTGTGAGAAATATCTTGCATACAGCATTCCAGCATATACCACAAACATATTGGATATCATTATTATTTTGCATATGATTAATTGTTCTCAAACATTCTATAAAGTTATATAAAACATATTAACATGTATAAAAGATTTCTGATATATTTTCTGCCAATGCATAAACTGTGCATTGACTGATTATCTTTGTTAATCTGTATCCAAAATGCTCACTCCATTGTTACAAAATAAAACTACTTCAGACATTTGTGTGTTTTCTTCAATTAGTTTCTTATGGAAACTTTTTTAGGATTTTCTTGTAACTTTTTAAATTTAATTGTAAAATTTATTAGCCACATACTGAATGAACTTGCAATTTGCATATATAAGCAACTATTTCATTAAATAAATTTATAATATTCTGGAAGAAAAGATTGATCTGGAGGCAGACAAAAATCCACTTCTTATTGTGCATATATATTACCATGTTTTAACATTGTCAACAGAGTTTTTCTCATTATATTAGCAGTTGTGTTACTCAGACCTTTGATTTTCACTTCAAGATCTATTCAGAGATATAGCCATAATTTTTAATTATTATTATTAAATACAAGGTGGTGGACTAACTGGTTACCTTTAGTCCAATTAACTGATGTTAATTGCTAGTGAGCCAAAATAAAGCCCAAGATAATCAAGCATTTTTCTAAAAGCAAAGCAAAGCAAATTTATCATTAGTCAGACTTTTCTAATTGTTTTAACATCAAATTTAATATATTTTGTGATCTCCCAAAATCTATTCAGAGACATTATTTCTTTGAAAGAAGTTGGCTCAAACAGTAGACCATAAATATCATATGCATAGAACATAACAAAACATCTAAATTAACAGTTTTCAATTGTTATTTTCAACTTGGCTGTATGCCATATCTATGCGATGTTTTACATGTTTCAGCATTGAATCATTTGCACATAAATGTCAAAAAGTAACAAAACATCTAAATTAACAGTTTTCAATTGTTATTTTCAACTTGGCTGTATGCCATATCTATGCGATGTTTTACATGTTTCAGCATTGAATCATTTGCACATAAATGTCAAAAAGTAACAAAACATCTAAATTAACAGTTTTCAATTGTTATTTTCAACTTGGCTGTATGCCATATCTATGCGATGTTTTACATGTTTCAGCATTGAATCATTTGCACATAAATGTCAAAAAGTAACATTTTGTCATTTATTTATAAATAATATTACTTTTGACATATTGACTAGATCCTGATATGGAGAGTTCAATTCTAAAGTGAACAGTGTCCATATGATCAATATTTAAAGATGGCAAGTTATTTAGGAATTTTTTATCTTAGTTTATCTTAAAAAGAAATTAAAATACACTAATGGGTACTGTGTATACTTAATGCAATGTATAATGCATAATCTTTCCAAACATAAAATGCAGAAAAATTTAGAAATACATATAATGTAGGTAAAAAAATAAATTTAATTTGGACTTGCTTCACTTTAGAACTGAACCCTCCCTATCATGAAATATATTTTGCTATGTATCATAATTTCCTGCATACAAAACTGCTATAATATATGGTCTTCTGCTTTCAAATAAAATATAGATAACCTGCAAGTTACATGCAGGAAATTCTGGTAATTCTTATAGAAAGTGGAAAGTCGGTGCTTACAGATTTTAAACTGTTTTATCTTGCCACGTATTTTGCTAATAGACTGAGCTAATACTCCATCATCTTAGTTTGGCTGTTTGACTGGCATGGAGGGAAAAAGGGAGGTCTACCTGAATTCTTGTATATGAATTCTGGAATTTGGGTTTTGGATTGGTTGGCGTCACTGGAATCACGTTGTCCAGACTCTGTCATTCAAATTACTACTTTGTGGAGATCACGTTTGGGTCACCAGTGAGGAGGCTACTGAGCCATACCTCTTGAGAAGATCGATTGAGTTGGTCACTGATTACATCTGCGAGTAGTGTTCTCATTGTCGTGCCAGAGGAATGATACTGGAGAGCAAGGGAGTCCAATGGTCAATGTCATGAGTTCCTTTTACAGAAATATATACAAGGGTTACAATTACATCGACCATGGAAGGAATGTTCGGAGCATGCAGTGAGGTGAAAGTCTGAACAGGTGTATGTCAAACCACTGCAGCATTAACAAACAAGTACTGTACAGTGGTGCCTCGTATAATGTGCTTAATCCGTTCCTGGTGCATGTCTGTTATACGAAACACTTTTCCCATAGAAATACATGTTAAAACATGTAATTCGTTCCACAGCATAAAATGTACCATAAAAAAAAAATGAAAATGGAGCAGTCACCAATTATGCTGGGTAGTCAGATGTTGTAAGCCGGAGGTGGAGGAACACTTTCTTTACACATTCATACAGATACAGACTTTTTACACATTGCAGCAAGTCTCTTTTTATTGTTTTTTTAATTGGAGTCAGATTCAGGAGA